CAACATCAAAGCATTTAGCCTCGAACCCAAGAAGACAAAAATCTCGTGTAATCACAAATTGGCCCTGTAACCTCGTATATCATCGTATTTTTGACTTATTTCCGAAATTCAACGGAATAAATATGTGCTCATACCAACGACCAAAAATGTAGAACAACACAAGTATCCTGATACAGTTGTCATCCTTGCGTGTAATAATATTGAACAGGAATGCTTACCTTAATTTTTTAACTGTTATATCAGGCAAATTAAGGAAAAGTTGGAGTCGTGTCATATCAACAACTAAAGAGATTAATGGAAAATCAGGGAAAACCGCAAGAGCTCCACTGACAAGAGCCCGGCTCTTAAATTATGAATGAATGTACAAAAATGGAAATAATCTCTTGTTTGCCTTAATTTTTTGCTATCTCCAAAGAAGGAAATAATCTCGTAAATTAACTTAGCTTTGCCATCCAACCTCGTACATCACTTTGCTCTACATGAGTAGTAGCTATAGTTCGTACTACTTAACTAAAAACAAGTACATAAACTTAAGTAGGCTCAAATTTCGTACAGATTTTGTATCTTGTACCCAAAAATCTCGTAACCTGTACGAAGAAGCTCGTACGGTTGGTATCCCTGTTCGCAGTTGGCGGGAAATGCATTACGCGAACAGCGGGCAAACGTGGCCACGCTCTACCGCGCTCTCGATCTGTTTTTATGGTTCAGTCATGTCGATGAGTTATAAACGTTGTAAACTTATAATTGATGTGGTCGGTTGGTTTAATACTCCGCTATGGATCCACGTTTTGATTTCTATTAAAATAATACGTATTTAATAAAATAACAATAATAATTACCGGACAATTCACACAGCGCCAGCTAGTTCTGAATTAATCAGAGCTTATGTTATGGGTACTAGACAACTAGCATAAATAACCAGACCAATACAAACAACCATACTCGTGAATACAAATGTTTGCAACGTACGAGGAAACGAATCCGCCACCATCGGAAGTAAACTGATAGACCACCAAGGGACTTTCTACAAAGTAGTCTATCTACCACTGTCTTCACATATTTCATGCATACCTTGCTTTTTGTTAATTGTGTTTCAATTTGACGAGAGATATGGCAGTGAAATTTCGGTACTGTATAGAATAGTTGTCAAGGCGACAACTAAGTGATGCCAACGCATACAGTCAACTGTGGTCTAAATTCTACCAGCTGCATCAGCCAATCCAAATATATAAAAAAAACAGAGCTCTTTCTTGTATCGAACAAGTTAATGTATTTTTAATTTTAATTAGCATAACTCGACTTACGAAATGCATTATAATTTCCATGACGTAGATACAACGGTATTAAAAGGACAAAATGGACACGATCACTACAGTCATTATCGTATCTATCTAACTGAAGGTTGTTCTCGGCCGAAGTCAATATTAAAGACATCTAATTCTTTCGCGTTATTATGTTTATATATATAAACTAGCTGTATCCGCGACTTCTTCCGCGTGGAATTTAACTTTATTTTTCTAAAATAAAAGTACTCTAATAGTAATAAGCCTAAGTTACTCCTTATTATATGAGCTAGGTGCCAAAAAATATTCCCGTCAAAATCGGTCCAACCATTTCAGAGATTAGCCGGAACAAACAGACAGATAGAAAGACAGACAAAAATTGTAAAATGTTTATTTTGATGTATATACCATATTTATATTTATATGCACGTAGTAAAAAACTTTTACTTTCTTAAAGGAACAATTGATTTATTAAATGCGTAATGTTTTAAAAATATATTTCATGAATGATCGCTCAGTAATTCATTTTAATATATTGTTAATTAGTAAATTTATTATAATTATGTATGACATTCAGTAAGAATATAGACAAATATTATTAGACAATATTAATCTATTCGCAATTTGACCACAGACTAACAATAAAATGTCTGTCAAATACATTTTCGTGTGTGTAATGTTTTTATTGATTTAATGTATTTTTTATGTACAATTAAAAAAGATATAGCATTTTTGTGCTCCTTTTCTATTTAAAGTTTAATTATTCATACCCCTCTGACTGCGCAATTTTCGTAAGGAATTCAAAATTTATGCATTACATATATATAGATAATTATTATTGCATAATTAGAGCCATATCTTTTGTAGAATGCAGTCCAGCTTCCTGAATTCCATCGAAATTGTATTAAATTTCCATTACATACTGATTATACTTAATTGATTGTTAAAATTAGAATTTAATTAGTATTTTATACATTCGTGATTATAAATGACAATCAAACAGATCCAAATATAGTTTCACAGTAGTTTTATACTAAGGGATTGACCCTGCCGACCCCGGTTCGATGCCTGGGGCGACCCAAGGACATTGTTATGTATGCGTAATACTATTATGTATAAGTTATTGTATTTAAATGTATACGTCACAGTCTGTATAGCTGTGTACAGAAGAATTCAATTAGTCACATTGTTCTTTATCTATGATATACGTTTGTGTTCACATTTAGTATATCTAGTATCTATGAAATACGGCATCTTGTTAATTTATATCACGTATATTTTTACAGGCGGCCTTAATAGTCGAGCGGTTGGTAGCTCACCGCGTTATTTCCAATGGTCGCGAGTTCATGATTTACGATTATATTCATGAGTAAGATTGTTTGTATCGGTACATAAATTATATATATGTATAAGAGTTATTATATGTGTATTTACAATATTAAAGTAACTATGTACTTATATCAGTTGTCGAGAATCTATAGCATAAGCTCTGCTTAGCTTGGTAATATATAGCCCTGTGTGAATGGTCCTAAAATATTGTATTATTATAATAGTTTTGCAGGTATGCTTGTATCTAGTGACTACTGATGATACCTACGACTACGGCCACAATATTAGCCTTGAACTTAATCGTATGACCAGTGGTATAAGATAACGGGCTACTGTACTGTACTCTGTAATTGAGTCTTGCAAATCTTGTCACTGATTCTGACAGTAATATGACCAAATAAATGTAATACTTATTTATTAACAGTTATACTTTGTGGTAATCGAATTATAACAAGAAAGAAAACATAGATATTCTTATCTATACATATATACTAAAACTATAGAGGTCGAATTTCTGTAGATAGAAAAAAACTGACCTGAAAAAGGGTAGTAAGGGGTTGAAAACGGAGATGAAATGTTGTATGTAAGTATTAGTTTTTTAAGTAGAACAAGGAATCTTTTTGGGATTGTAATCTAACTAAATATATTTTCTTTATTAAGTTGAGGTCACTAAAAAAATAACTATAATCTATATTTAGCTAATTTAGCAACATGTTCTATGAAACATTTCGCCGCATTTCCAGTTAATTATGTCAAAAATCTATACAATTCACATAGTCCTCCGACTGAAGGGAACTGGGGATTGGGGTTGTGACAATGGAATTGAATTTGTTGGTTTCTTAGATTTTGGTTAACTTGGAATCTTAAAAAGTCAACCAGACAAAACGTAAGATTATGTATAAATGTATTGATTGATTTTTTTAACTGGGTTAATTTGGAATCTTCACGGCTCAACTTATTAACATTTACGATTTATATATAAATTTTTATTTTGTTGAGTTATTAGAATTATTTGTATTCATTACTTTTTGAACATTTAATTCAGACACATGTATATGGACGCGAACGTCTCAGGTTTGATGTTGATGCATAAATCTGCATATCTGAGTAAAATCGTTTCATTAAATAGACCTATACTACTACCTAGGTACATCTGTGGTTTGGTTTGAAGGTTTCACAATTATTCATAGAGATTAATAATGTACGTAGTACGTACTAGTGTTTTGTGTGTGGGTTTGTTTATGTTTCATAATAATGATAAGGCCTGTATTGTTTATATCCGAAGAAAATAATTCACCTAACTGATATTATAGTAAATATACACAATAAATATGTTGTTATTTGTGCAACCCTGCCAGAGGCTTAATGTGTTTTTATATTGATTCAACACGTGTATAGTTAGCCTTGGTGTTGCTTTAATAAATAAAAAACAAATATATAGATATATTTTTAAGTATTACAATATCCATTAATTAATTGGTCAGGCAAATTATTATACTTAGATGTTATATTTTACAATGTACTTAAATAAAAGTAAATTAGTTAAATTTAATTTACGTCATCGTACTCCCAGTTTCCCCTCCCCTTCCTCCCCTGGCGCTTCTCCCACCATCCTTCGACCCCCTCCCACTTTATTCTCTTATCAATCACTTTGACCGATTATTAACATCTAGTATCGCTACAATACCCTTCAACTACCACATTACTTAGCAAATGATAAGTAAGTAAATATAGATTGATAGCTGTTGAATATTACAACGAGGTCAACTAGTTATCTGATAGATATAGATAGTTAGGTACGTATCTAACTATAGATAGATGCAAAATTGCCAAAACCAAACTCAACCTTGTCAATACCGTAACACTATTATTACAAGGTTACACTGTAGGACGATATTGATATGTTTATTTATAGGACTATTATAATAATCATTCAGAAGATCACAAATGCTCAATCAACTAATGATAGGTACCTCTTCGCCTACATAGACCATCTCGTGGCATGTAGGTGTGCCTATATATTGTTTTATCATTACAAATTCAGAACTCTCCACAAGAATCAATTTATGAACGTCAGTGGATGCTATTTCAATTAGTGCGTGCCAGATGCCTTTCCACAGCAAACCTGTTTCGGTTCTTTTCAACGAGCCGCTTGAGCGTAACCTTTGTTTCTAATTTATAACACCGCATCTTGTATAATAACACCTAAAGAGACATTAAGTCAATTAAAAAATAAAGCAACAACTGTCAGTGTATACCATCGCCTAATTTTATTATTCACATTATGTGCCTACGTGACATAAAATCAATTATGGGAAAAAAGTCACTGAAACAAAAGCAAACTCGATTGGGTCCCGGCAACAAAAAGTTTAGTGAAGAGTCGCCTACCTGCTAATTAGACAAAGAGCTCGCTGCCCGCTATAGCCGTGTCAGCGACAACACGATCATAAACATGCACACACATACATCCGTGGTCACAGTAGTGTACGCGGGAAGCGATCGAGAAGTAGCGAGTGAACGGGGGATTTGTGCGTCTAGTCGCGAGCAAGTGACGACGAAGACTGGGTTCAGTGATCAGTGCCTGCCCGCAATGCAAGCGGCATTCGACAACGGGCACGAGCGAGCGAACAGCTGATGGCCCGAGCGGCCGGCTGCCTGCGCGCACACCTGTGTGCTTTGCCTGCACTCTCTCTTTCTCGCAAACGCAACATCTTGCCCTCAAATCGTTGTGACGTTCTATGGAATGAACCCCGTGTGAACGTCAATGATGTGGCAGATAGCTGAGCTACTGATTATGTCTGTCAGGCTGCCACTGTTGCTATGCATTGCTGCTGATATTCATTGTGCATTGCACACAATTGTTACTATATCACTTGTTGGATCGATTGCATCCAGATTATGTTTATTTGGTACATTTATTTAATCCAATTGGTGAATGTCTTCTGGTTTGGTTTTATGATTACGTGATCTCAAGTTGGTATCGTTGCGGCGAGGTATCACCGTACGTGACACTTTCACAACTTCGTAACAGCTACGTACTGGATCAACATTTGCATGGCGAACCTTATCTGCAGTATATCAGAATTTTAAAGATAATAGTGCAGTTTCTGGTTGATATTTTCAACATTAGAATCACTTTTTGAATCGAAATCATGAATGATTTTTGTATTTATACATCTTATATTTGTACTAATACAACATGTCTTCTATAGAGTACATTATGGATTAGAGAATTCAACAATTACCTAATTAATTAATATTAATTAATAATGACGGCTTCGAAAGAAAAGAAACTGAGGAACTTCGAAAGAAGAAAATAAAACAATAAAAGATAGGCTAAAAGGATGTCGCCACAACGAAGACAGATATTCCTTTTATGTTTAGCACACCGCCTTAGTTCCGATGGTCGCGGGATCACAATCTGTGTTTAGCTTAGCACTTGATGGCCCTGTGTTAATTGTCCTGTGATATTATAATTGTCTATCTATTGGCTATCAAATTAATGCCAATAATCATTCTGTATACTTAGCACGGTCTTAATATATATTTAGTATAAATACAGTATATTTATAGTATATTAGTATATATTTCCTAATAGAACAACAAATCTTTCTGCAAATGCAAAACCCTTGAGTAGATACAAATATCTTTGTCTTCTCTAACGTTATAAATTCGTTTTCCGGATCCAATCATATACATATTATAATTGTAGCTCAGAACCCGACTTATAAATGCATTTGACTCATATCTGACCAATCAAATTGAACTCTATGTCACTAACGTAAGGTTTATTTTAATCAGGTATCATTTGTATTGCAGTCATTCAGCGCATGAAAATTGAGCTCTAACTAAAGTGGCCTTTAAGTCCCAATTAATAAGGTTTAGTTTGTTTATTATGTGATTTTTTTCACGTTAGTTTTCTTTTTATTTGCTGCGAGTGTCGGCATTGTTATAGCATGTATGCACTATAAGGTCTGTAGTTTGTCATCAGTGTTAATTCATAACGTTCCCATAATGAAGACCCAAACGAGGGGTTATTCTTAATACACAGTAATTCATAAAGTATTTTATTTGCTTAATATTTAGTATATAATACTAATATTATATACTAAATATAGGCATATATTATTTTAGTATTCATAAAAAGTGTTTATTACAAATTATATTAATGTGTACCACGTTATCATAGTCATAAGGTTTATTTTTTTTATAAATTAGTGACTTATTGTGTATTTTTAATACTTTATAGTATTAAAAATAGCATGTTGTATATATATTATAAATTGTACTACTTCTGTTTTTACTAAAATAAATATTTGTACGTGTGACAATTAACTATTTGTTTAAATAAATAAATAAAAGTAGCCTAAGTTACCTGTTGTAATATTAACATGTGAGTGATAGTTCTATTAAAATCGGTCCAGCCGTTTCTGTCTCTTTGTTTTTTTTTATTTAAATATCGTATATACATTTAGAAATAGCTGTTAATTTCAAATTACCACACAGACACTTCAATTTTATTTATTTGTATAGATTTGATTGGGAGATCCTTTCACCGTTTAGTTTATAAAAGGTAAAAATATATACTATCACATTTATAATATTAATCATTACTATAGTATAAAATAAAGTCGCTGTCGCTGACTGCCCGTCCCTATGTATGCTTAAATCTTTAAAACTATGCAACGGGTTTTGAAGCGGTTTTTTAATAGATAGAGTGATTCTAGATGAAGGTTTATATATATAATACATGTACACCCGTGCGAAGCCGGGGCGAGTAACTAGTGCATAAATAAATTACAAGTACAAGATATTGTAAAATATACTAAAAGGTACTACACATTTAAGTATGTTTTACAATATCTTGTACTTTATTTCACTTAGAAATATCATAGATATTAAACTATTCTTGTTCTGTTTATAGAAATTCAACGTGTCCATATCAAAGCAAGAAAACGTGCGTTTGAACGATAAAGATACTTAGCAATATGGCGCAAATAAAGCGTTATTCTTTGACCCTTCATTTAATAGTGTAAGGATATTTAAAATATATATATATGCATAGAAAACACCTAGACCGCACACAGAGAACCATAGTCAAGAATGTTTTGTACCGAACGAGGAATCGAACCCGCAACCGTCAGAAATAAAGCGGAGTGCTAAATTGCTAGATTACAGAGGCAGACATACATAGGCGACGGTTGCCACACGTGACGTTACCCACAAGTGCCCATTCAGTTACATTAAAAAAACTCCTTCATATAACTTCAGAATATAAATGTAATAGACCATTCCATATATTATAAATAAATATTCTTTCATATAATCTCGAAATATAAATGAAATTCGAAGACGATATTTCAGATTGTAATTTGTATAGGTTATAGTCCACGAGCCAGACGCTGTTTTCGTCAATTAATCCTCCCGGTCGAAAACTTCTAAGATGGTTCTGAATGTTGTGTAATGAAACTTATTTATTTATTTGAACCGAAAATAATTTGACAGATTTACTTTTTATTTTTGTGAGGGTGCTGCTTCTCAACAAACCCTCGAAACCGCAGCCAACTTTCACTAAGCATCACAACACAACTATCATAACCATCTTAGAAGTTTTGGCCCAGGAAGAAATCGTCGTCTTGAAGAGGTCGTCTTGATTCGCTCCTGGCTTGGGGGCTATTACGAATGGGTATGCTCTTCAGCTGGATTTTTATTATTCCTCATATAAGTTAGTAACGATTTCGGAATGTATGGAAATCAAATTAGATTCATAGTGCCTACGTGGGCTGCATACGCCCACCAATACGTCTAATCTACGGGAATTATATATTTAACTATTGCATACTTAGATACCACCAACCCTGTTATTTTCGAATAGGATAGTCAGAGGAATTTTACGATGGGAATTAATTTTATAATAATAATATAGTAACACAAGATAATTTACGCTTGAATTTAAATAAATAAGAATCAAGTATCAAAAATAAAAACGAAAATAATAATAACGCTGTTCTACGGGGAAAGTGGATTGTTAATAATGTGGACTGACCCATTGCTAGCAATGTACCATATCAGGGTGACTTCCACGCGGTTGCCCCTGGAAACCATCGAGATAAATTCTTGGAGAATATGTCAAGATGAGCTAACTGAACTTCATGATCATGTTAACATCCTACACTGGTGCCCCACTAGCGTAAATCGTTAGCACAGTCTGGGAAATCATTCCATTATCATCTATAAAAAAAATACAGATTGTCAGTCCCCCATGCTATAACAAAAATTACACAGAGCCAAGGTAAATAGAGCTTGTGTTATAGATTCTAGACTACTTAAATACACTTTTTTGTAAATGCATACATAATATACGTATGAAACACCTAGACCCATACAAACAATCATACCCATGAATACAAATTGAACCCGCAGCCATCGGAGGTGTATTCAATCGCTACACCACCAAGACCATCAATGACGATGATGATAATGATCATTTAAAAAGCATTGGTGTACTTGTCTCTAATCGCAAAGAAGTGTTTATCTGGACGTGTGTTAAATTTTCAGGACTAAACGGCTGAATGAATCTTAATGAAATTTAAAGTGACTGTAGATTGTATTAGGAAGACGACATAGACCATCTTTTATATAAAAAAAAGCAGGCGATCTGGCGGTTCACATATATAGACAGTGGTATAGATACTGAATCCCATCATTTACTTTTTTTTAATTCAAGTTTAAGGTTAGCGATCTTACAACACGCGCCTCAGGCAGGTGTTGTCTCCAGTATGGAAATAAGCAGCTGTGGACAGTGATACAAGATTAGTTGTTTCCCCATAAAATGCGGAGGATTATTTTGAACTTACTTAGGCCTAAAACTTAATGCCAGATTTAATCATTTCCCCACAATTTTTGGAAGATTTTGAGGGGAACAAATTTTTGGCACTTGGGCCTGTGACTTAAATTTTTTATTTAAGCAGGAAGGCAGGGCGGGGTGGTAATTGAAGATTTTTGGAGTCCAAGTAGGCCTAAGACATTTTGAAGGGGTGTATATTGAAGTTAAGGATTTTTAGAGGGCTAAAAACAAGAAACCAAGTTAAAAAGAACAAGAAAATGTGGTAAAACAGGTGGCCCAAGCATAAAGTCATCATATTCACAAACGCATCGAACAATTAAAAAATTGAACGTATTTATGGCGGAATCTTAAAAACCTATATAATTTAGAAATTTCCGATATAATTTGGGGAATACTGCCTACTCATCTAGCAACACAGGCTGTGAGCAAAATGTAACGTGTATGTAGAACAGATGTAAGGACTTAAAATCTGCACTTAAGCCATAGTATGCTAAAAATATAATTAAATCACGGCCATTTTGTCAACTGACAAGATAAGCAACGCCGATCTTTTTCCAATTTAGTGTTTTTTTATTATTTACATAATGCACAGGCATAAGCTTAACAGAACCGATATAGACATTTTAAATAAAAAGTATTAGGTAATTGTCCAAAACCATGATTATTCATTTTTAGAAACAATATCAATACCACAGACTATGTGAATACGTACAGGTTGTAAGTTTA